GCCGAACTAACTCTGCTCCACGTCTCCCCTAGCTCGTCAGTACTGGCCTCAGACATGGAGACACATTCACCAAGAGATCTGCTAGCAGAGAACAGCCCAAAACAACACAACTGCACGCACTTCCAGCACATGGGCCAGAAAAGCTGGAACGAAACATTTGAATTGGCAAGCCGAGGTGTTATTCATGTACAGCAAATCAATGTTTTGACTGGGTTCTTGGTTCTTTCAGGGCCCATTACTAGCAATTCCAAGTCAGGGAGACAGATGCAGGGATCCTGACTTGCGCATGAAAGCCAGCGCTGAGTCCCAAGCTGCTGAAGCTAGTCACTGTGAACGCAACTTTCAACTTCGCTGTGTGCCAGGCTTTTCCATGCGACTCAGGCAAACCTTGGGACAATCAGCCAGACACGTCAGTGATTGACTGCGGGATGTGGCGCTGAGAGGTTTGAACTTAAACTTTGGAGACAGTGTTTGCTGGAGAGTGAAGCAGAAATCTGCATGAGTCAGCGTGGACGTAGTCCTTTTACTCTAACAGCACCGCGTCTAGGTTACACAGGTTTGTCTGCAGGATGACTCGTGTGAGGTAGTTGCAGTGCTGAAAAGTCTAGTCATCCTCCAGCCCAGAGGGCAAGGCTCCTCTCCACTATGGCAACCTCTCCTGGCCCATCCTCAGTACCGCGCAAAGTACCGGTGGTAGGAGTGGTGCCCAAGACCTTCAGGGGTCAACAGACAAACCTGACGACGGGCAGCTGAGAGCACGTTGTAACTACGAACCTGCAAATCAAGAACTTCCAGCCGCAAACCGGACGTCCTGAAATGAAAACAGGCAAGATCAAGGTCTGCACCTGTTCTTCTGCTAGTTAGTACGTAGGCAAAAAGGTTGTCGAGAAGAACAGTACAGGTAGAACCTTACTTGAAAACATGTGCTCCCCAAGGCCTTGCCATCAACGAAGCCTCGGCAAGCCAAGAGAGTGGCTTCACGTTCCGACTAGCTGCAGTCATGTTGAGCCTTGCTGGATTGCTTCAGAGCTTGCTTGCTTGCTTGCACGCTCCA